AAAGGACCCCATCCAGACCCTCGTGTTATATTGGGAGTAGTTATCATATGCTGCACATCTACTCTACATATGAAGCTTATGGTATATAATTATTTGTGCACCATGCATGTCGTCCCTTTCTCCATTTTTCCACCTTTCTTCTTTTCATATTATCCCTTTTATGTTCATCGCTTCGATAGTATCCATTTTTTGAAGATGGGACTTAAATTACAAAAGAATCAATTACGTAGCGTTTTGCCCTTTCTAGAGTATTTCGCGGCGATTTAATTTCGCGATTCTCAAATTTACTTGATGTAGATAAATAAGGAAAAATCCAAGTTTTACATATTCGCGACGATTTATATTCGCGTTATTTTTCTTCTCGCGAAAGTCGCGAAAATAAATCGCTCGCGAAAATTAGTTGGTTTACAGTATGCACGAATTAAAATCCTGGCCCAAACCAAATCCAAAAACAGACCTTCGGATACCAGAGAAAGCTGGGCCTATGTAGATCAAAATGCATTTTTTACCCACGTTTGAATTCTATCTTAATTCTGAAACAAGAACACATATGTTATATATGCACGAATTTAAATCCTGGCCCAAACCAAATCCAAAACAGACCTTCGGATACAAGAGAAAGCTAGGATGAAATTTGTAAAAAAGGCAGGACAGGAGTATTGAGTAAAAAAAAGGCAGGATGACAATTTATGTAAAAATAAGTCAGGATAAACTACTGTAAATTCAGAAATTATTGCGAGGTTTTTATTAATGCGAATACAATGCGACTGGTTGAATATCGCAATAATAAGAACTCACAATCTGATAACTGAAACATAGATCTGTATGCAGATTTTTTGGAAATCGCAATAATTGATCTCGCATTTTTGTCAATTCTTGAAAAATCGCAATAATAAATGCACGCAATAATTTCTGAATTTACAGTAATAAAAAAAAGCAGGACCGAATAGATTGAAAAATAAAAAGACAGGACAGAGATTACAACTAAAAAAAATGCAGGACAAAATTTTTCATCCTAGCCCCCATAAAAATCAAATGGTAGCTCCCTAAGTTGTTGTTCATCAGACTGAGATTTTAGATTTTTTAAAAGATACGCCAGACTTAAGTTCATTCTATTTTGGTTAGTTTCATATTGTTTTAGTTTTAATTCTAATTTTTGTTCTCGATTAAATTACACCTTATATAAGTATCCTGGATTTTGATTGGTTGATATATAGTGTATTGTTCATGTTATTTATTTAGTTAAGACCATCGTGTGTGCTTATGCACAACGGCGAGCCTTTTAATCCAAAAAAAAAAGTCTTTAGAAGAAACTCACTACATATCTGTTCAATATTTCAGTATTTTAGTTATGTCATGATCGTGTCTCTCGGACAATAAGTTACATGACAAGTGCCAATAAAAATAATGCAGGAACTGTAAACCATTCAGGAAGATACATGTTAATTCCCAATTTCAGCGGTGTTTGTGAATTTTATCTTTTTTATTTTTTTATTGCTGTATAATCTTCGTTTATTTTCATTTGGCCATCGTGTGAGAATCCTGCTTGGATTTAAGATTTTTAATTGTCCCTCTGACTTTTCGTCCCGTTTTGATTGAACAATTAAACTGTCAACACTAATAATCACCTTGCCTTAAACTGTCAACACAGTGATATACCTTGCACGAAACTGTCAACACAGGGACGTACCTTGTCAGACTATCAACATAGAGACGTATCTTGCCTTAAACTGTCAACACAGAGATGAACATTGCCTTAAACTGTCAACACAGAGACATACCTTGCATGAAACTTGTCAACACAGGGACGTACCTTGTCAGACTATCAACATAGAGACGTATCTTGCCTTAATCTGTCAACACAGAGATGAACATTGCCTTAAACTGTCAACACAAAGACGAACCTTGCCTGAATCTCTCAACACAGGGACATACCTTGCATGAAATTGTCAACACAGAGACATACATTTCTGAAACTATCAACATAGAGATGCACTTTGCCTTAAACTGTCAACAGAGATGTACCTTGCCTGAAACTGTAAGCACAGAAATGAACCTTGCCTGAAACAGTTAACACAGAGGTGAACCTTGCCATAAACTGTTATAACATAGATAAACCTTGCTTTAAACTGTCAACGCAGGGACATACCTTGCATGAAACTGTCAGCAGAGATGAACCTTGTCTGAAACTGTCAACACACAGATATACCATGCCAGAAACTGTCAACACAGAGATGAGCCTTGCCTGAAACTGTCAACACATAGATATACCATGCCAGAAACTGTCAACACAGAGATGAACCTTGCCTGAAACTGTCAACACAGAGATGTACATTGTCTGATTGTCTGAAACAGTTAACACGGAGATGTACCTTGCCTGAAACTGTCAACATAAAAATGTACTTTGCCTGAAACTGTCAACGCAGAGACAAACCTTGCCTAAAACTCTCAACACAGTTATGACATACATGAAACTGTCAGCAGAGATGAACCTTGTCTGATACCTTCAACACATAGATATACCTTGCCAGAAACTGTCAACACATAGATAAAGCTTGCCTGACACTCTAAGAACAATAATAAACCTGGCCACTAATGTCAACACAGAGATTTACCTTGCCTAAAACTGTCACAACAGACTTTTTTTCACCTGAAACTATCAACACATAATTATACCGTTCCTGAATCTGTCAACACAGAAATGAACCTTGCCTTAAACTGTCAACACAAGGACATACCTTGCATGAAACTGTCAGCAGAGAAGAACCTTGCCTGAAACTGTCAACACATAGATATACCTTGCCAGAAACTGTCAACACAGAGATGAACCTTGCCTGTATCTGTTAACACAGAGATGTACCTTGCCTGATTGTCTGAAACAGTTAACACAGAGATGTACCTTGCCTGAAACTCGCAACATAAAAATGTACTTTGCCTGAAACTGTCAACAGAGATAAACCTTGCCTGAAACTCTCAACCCAATTATGAACCTTGCCTCCAAATATCAACACAGAGATTTACCTTGCCTAAACTGTCACAACAGACTTTTTACCTAAAACTATCAACACATAGTTGTACCTTTCTTGAATCTGTCAACACAGAGATAAACCTTGTCTTAAACTGTTAACACAAGGACATACCTTGCATGAAACTGTCAGCAGAGATGAACCTTGCATGAAACTGTCAACACATAGATATACCTTGCCAGAAACTGTCAACACAGAGATGAACCTTGCCTGAAACTGTCAACACAGAGATGTACCTTGCCTGAAACTCTCAACATAAAAATGTACTTTGCCTGAAACTGTCAACACTGAGATAAACCTTGTCTGAAAATCTCAACACTGAGATAAACCTTGTCTGAAACTCTCAACACAAATATGAACCTTGCCTGCAAATGTCAACACAGAGATTAACCCCCTTATGATTCATCACCTCCAAAATCAATCCCAGCCTTCCCTTTGTGGTATGGTACCTTGCAGTACAATTTCAGAGAGATCCATACACTTGAACACAAGTTATTGTCTGGAAACTAGAAAAATGCTTATTTTTGGCCCCTTTTTGGCCCTTTATTCCTAAATGTTTTGGGCAATTACACCCAAACTCAATTCCAGCTGTCCCTTTGTGATATGGAACCTTGTAGTACAATTTCAGAAAGATCTATACACTTACACACAAGTTATTGTCATGAAACTAGAAAAATGCTTGTTTTTTGCCCCTTTTTTGGCCCCTAATTCCTAATATTTTGAGGCAATTACCCCCAAAATCAATCCCAGCATTCCCTTTGTGATATGGAACCTTGCAGTACAATGTCAGAGAGATCCATACACTAACACACAAGTTATTGTCTGGAAGTTACAAAATGCTTATTTTTGGACCCTTTTTGGCCCCTAATTCCTTAACCGTTGGTACCAAAACCCCCAAAATCAATCCCAACCTTCCTTTTGTAGTATTGAACCTTATGGTCAAATTTCATAGAGATTCATTTACTTAAACTAAAGTTATTGTGCGAAAACCAATGTGTCTTCGGACGACTACGACAATGACGGATGATGACGACGCCAAGGTCATACCAATATACGACTGCAAAAATTTTTTGCGGTCGTATACAAAACTGGTGGTACATCACTAGCAGATAAAGATTAATAATACTTGTCCTTTAGTATGGAAGATAAGATACCTGCATATATAAGGATTTGTATATTCTGATAATTACTACATTACTTATTGTCCTCACACAAATACTGCCAATTTCAATTAAATTTTATGATGAGACTTGGTGAAACCTGCAAGGAGTGTTGTTTTAGATATTTTGCTTTAGCAAGTCTTCAACCAATAAACAAGCTTCCTGCAATAGCACAATTTAAACCAGCTTTCAAATTTTTTAGCTGTTTTTTATTTCCTTGTTAAAGTTGATAGCTGGACTGTGCAGGTTTTTCATTGTGTTTTTTATTTATAATGCATGGTCTTAATAGGCAAAACTAATTGTAGTTTTCCTATAAAATTCGATGACAAATTTTGCCCAACAGATCTTTCATTTGTACATGGTGTACTTTTGCACTTCCTATTTCATTTCATCCTTTTGGGGTTTACTTTAGCATGACATGGACTTTGTCATGCCTGCACACTACAGTACACATTTGTATCTGATTCACTTCCTTAACCCCTATACTATTGTACATCTCCATTTTGGTGTTTGTACTGGAAAATATTTAGTGTTTCCCTTAGCAAATCATCAATTTTGCCATTGCTTTATTTTGTATCTGCATCTTCTCCAAACCCCTCATTAGAATTTATTGAAACTTTCTCGCTTCCCTGAGCAAATCATAGACTTTGCCTTTCCTTTACAGTGGGTGTAGGTTTCATTTTGTAAACTTTGCTCACAGTACCTCTAGTTTTAACTAGTTTTGAAGAATCATTTCTCTATTGTAAAAGTCACCATTGTTTTTTTTTTTATATTTAAATCAGCAGTGAATATCCTCAAGAAAATGACTGGCATATTGTTTGGTTATAAATTTTATTGCACAAGACTATTATAAAAGAAATCAATAAATTATTATTTCAAACAAACCATCTTCCAACATAAGGTAAACAACTTTGACTACTGGAAAACATGTCTCTTCTCTCATTCTACAAATTTTAAATTTCATACATTCAAAAGAAAAAGACATCATTATATTTTAAGCATAGTAAAAGTGAGAGGATATTCATTAAAACATTCTATGTTAAAGGGAGGTAACTGCATTCAACAAATGATTTTTCCAATAAACAATCAGGGAATATCACTTTTTCAGAATAAGATTAATTTCTTCATTTAAAAAAAATAAAAAAATGAAAAGTCAACAATGCAATATAACATCATGATGAAATTCTGATGACAGTCAATTTTATTTGTTGAGGGGTATACGTTTTACCAGGGTAAAGCCAAAAACCTTTAGCTTGTAAGAGTGAATCTCTTTCCCATGCTGGTTCAGTCCAGTGCACTTAGTATTCTGCAAATAACTGGCTTCACAATTATTTTTACACCATGCAAAAAGTAATTCAAATATAACCTGTCTAGACAAAACACAATATACATTTCATACCAAGACAAGAGTATCTAAATTAAATTTTCAAACTTGCTAAGAATTTGAGTTGGTCGCGATTTTTTATTAACAAAATGTTAAATTAGTTTATGAATTAAGTCAAATTGCAAAATATTTAAAATGTTTTACATCATAGGTTAATCAAGCAAACTTTTATTTGAAAATTATTTCATAGTAAACTTTTTAAAACTTGTAAGAAATAGAAAAGAACGAACACATTGAAATAAAAAAAACACAAATAAAGTCTTTGTTAAAAAAAAGAACAATACTGTTGTTAGAAACTGTAGGATTTATTTCAGTTAGATTTGCATTATGATTTTAGCTTTTTTATTAAGTTTAAAGATCAATATGATTATGTATGGAATACATATCTTTCACAAAGTATTGACATGAAAAGAAAAATAAATTTATAATAATTACATTTTTTTCTACAGTAGACAGTAAATTACAGAAGAAAAATAGAAAAAATACAATTTATTAAAAAAACTGCAAATTTGATCCTTGGTTTCCAATACAATGCACCAATAAGCTGGAATGTTATACTCTCTGGACTAAAAGAGAATTTCTTTTGTAATCATAGATGAAATAACTTACTTTTTGTTTTGTTGGAATTGCAATAAAGAACAAAATTTTAATAATTTTCCTTCTAAGTGAGCTTGCATCTAAATTTCAATAAAATTACTGGTGATGATAATGATGATGGAAAAAAACGTATACAGGGATTCTACTTATAACAGTAAATTGCACTCTCATATAAAAAAGGAGACGATAAGAAATAAAATGCTATATTTTGTTAATGAAGATGAAATTTACTTTATAAACCCATTAAAAGTCAAACCTTCTATAAAATTGACCTCTATTTTTACAAAACCCTATATAAGGTCACCTACTTATTGTCCAGCTGTAGAAATGCCTATGCATTTTGAACCTCACTTCAAAGGTCACTGTTCTTATAAGGTTCGTTTTCTCTTAGTCCCTTGGGTGATCTAAATATACAGGTTTGACTGTAATTCATTTTCTAATAATTACAAGACTGAGATCTCTACAGTGTAAACAAAACAAGAATGTGTCCATAGTACACGGATGCCCCACTCGCACTATCATTTTCTATGTTCAGTGGACCGTGAAATTGGTGTCAAAACTCTAATTTGGCATTAAAATTAGAAAGATCATATCATAAGGAACATGTGTACTAAGTTTCAAGTTGATTGGACTTCAACTTCATCAAAAACTACCTTTACCAAAAACTTTAACATGGAGCGGGACAGTCGGACGAACGAACAGACGAAGGGACGCACAGACCGAAAAACATAATGCCCCTAGGTGGGGCATAAAAACGCAGTATGTTAGTAAAATGCATGTGTTTATATTTATGTCTCCAAACAGATCAGAAGTTCCTATTGTGAAAAACACATGACACAGTTCCATGCATCATTGGCGACAAATCAATAAAAAGGTCAGAAAAACCTTTCTGAAACATCTTGAAACAAAATATATATTTTATCAATTTTTACAATCTAAACAATGTATTATCTCCTTTAGAATATAAGCCTGATAGATTTGAAACCATGCTTATTTTACAGTAGGTGATAAAACCTAATGAGTATCAATATTTGGAAATCCAATTTGAAAATTCAAAAGTCATAAATTTTACTAACATTTTACAATAAGGAATGTTTTTATAAAGTCTACATTTCTAATCCTGCTTCTTCTTCTAACAAACATAAAAACTTTGGAATTCTTTGTGTTTCTTCATTCTGAAAAATTAAATATTTCTAAATCAAGCTTTGTCTTTAAAGATCATTTCATTTAAACACAATGTTACCCACAATTTAATGCTGAAATATTTTAAATGCATTGCTGACTTTAAAAAAGCCCTTTATTATAAAAGCAAATCATATTACTGTGAAAGTACTTTTGTTTCATGGGGTACTAATTTTCGTGGTTTTCGTGATTGGATTCAACCACGAATTCAAATTCCCAACGAAATGTAAAATTTCCATTTGAAACTAAAATGCTCTAATAATATCCACGAATTCAAAAACCCACAAACTAAGGAAATTTTGAAAATCCATGAAAATCAATACCCACGAATAAAAGTACCTTCACAGTAACCTCTCCTGGTGGTTCTGTTTGAAACTGTAAGCATTTAATTTACCCTTCCAAAACAATTGAGATAACCCTTGGATTTTGTTGGGGTTCCAGTTACTTAGTCTCTAATATTTTTGTAGTGTTTTATAGACTGTTGTTTGTTTTTTCATTGTTTTTTTGACGTTTTTTTTGCCATGACTTTTTCTGTCTTTCTTCAACTGATTTTTTTTAATCTCCCTTTGAAATTTTACACCTCTTTTTTAAATGTGTAGATTAAATGGAAAAGCCCTTGTAAATGCTTTTAAATAAAATACATATTTATGATGCCACTGCTAGTAAAGCACAACTTATAATGTTATATAATCACTAATTTCAATAACGTCTAGCCCTAATTCCTTCAAATTATGATTTTTTTTATAAATCTTCTAAAGTCCTGTAAACTTCACAACTTTTTAAAACTTGATTCTTTGAACTGAATATATATAAAATTTTAGAATTAGTTTCAGCCAAGCAGCCTGTGATGTTTATATAGCTCAAAATGTGCAATGATTTAATTGTGTTTTATTTTTATAATCGATTGTGAACCAAGAGCAGATAACTCTCTCATATTTAAATGTGAACAAAGAGGAGATAACTCTACTGTATTTACCTGTCTTGCCATCTCAATGAGAATTAATAACTTCTTTATACCTATCCACAACCTGAAAAATATAGAAGCCAATATTATATACTAGGTGCATATTGATCCAAAAATTTTGATACTTTATAAAAAACAAGGAATTGTATACATTGCAATGAGAGCAATATATTATTCAGAAGTATTGACATATCATTTAACTGAATTGCATAATATTTGCAGGCATTTTATTTCAATGATTTTACAGTTTTATGATAGTGTGTGATCAATGATCACTCAATGGTAGAAGTAACACATAATTGAGAATAACCATTTATTTTTCTGAAGTGCTTGATTGGCATGGGAACTGAAAAGTTACGAATTTTCAGGAATCTACCTTTACATGAATAAAACCTATAAAGATTTTCTAAAAATTAACATGTGTTTTCCTGTCATTAAAAAAAAGAAAGGTCTTAAAAACAATAAGTAAAGAAAGATTGATTGCAAAATAGGTAACACTTACTACATATTTTCATGATATATCATGCATGATTACAAATTTGTTATGCTTGCAAGTTCGTGACATTCAGGAATTTCCCCTTAACACATGACATCATGCATGAATATTTATTATCTGCAACGTGCATAATTCCAAAGAACTTAGAAGGTTTTTATACGACCTCAAAATATTTTGCGGTGGTATATTGGTATCACGTAGTCGTCAGCATCGTCTGAAGACAGTTGGTTTCCAGACAATAACTTTAGTATAATTAAATAGAAATCTATGAAATTTAAACACAAGGTTTATAACACAAAAGGAAGGTTGGGATTGATTTTTAACATTTTAGGAATTAGGGTCCAAAAAGGGGCCCAAATAAGCATTTTTCTAGTTTGCAGACAATTACTTGTGGAACTGTGTATGGATCTCTCTGAAATTATACCACAAGTTTCCATACCACAAAGGGATGGTTAGGATTTGCTTTTGGGGGTTATGGCTCAAACCGTTTAGGAATTAGGGGCAAAAAAGGGGGAAAAACAAGGGTTTCCTGGTTAATGGACAATTACTCAAGACAATTTAAAAGCAGTGTAAGGGAGGTAATCAAAACACAACGTTTTGATTACCTCCCTTACACTGCTTTTAAATTATGTATAAAGAAATGTGGGGGGTCAATTTTTTCTCATTTCAGATTTCAGAAATTTTTTGTGGTGGGAGGGGGGGTCAATTCGCAACAGCAAAGTGTATTGCACAAAAGCAAAAAATTGAATATAAATTTAAATCATATAACCAATTCTAAGTTCTTTGACTACAGTTATTCTGTGTCAGAAACCTATTATGTGTCAAATATTTAATTACAATCCAAATTCAGACCTGTATCAAGCACGAATATTGTGTCCATTTTTGCCCCAACTGTTCAGGGCTGCGAACGGCGAAGCAATTTATTGTTTTTATTTTTTTCCAATTTAGAACTTTCTTGCAAATATATTTGCAAAATATCTCTTTTCACTATTACTGTTTTATTCCTGCCTAGAATTTTGATGAATTCTTTGGAAAATCTCTTCAGCAATATTTTTGACAACTTGAACAAAGAGTCATCATCTATTTGTTGGTCATGTGACACACAATTCCCTCTCAAGGTCAAACACATTATTTTTTTTTAATGTATTTCAAAAGTGAACAGATTTTTTAGATCAAAAAGTGTTTTTTACATAAATATTTGTATGCTTAAATCACATTTTGAACTTTGTAAGAGTACTTTAGTTATGTTTTAAATTTCATCCTGGACTTTCATATTGACCATTGAAATTCACATGTCAAAAATGGCGTAATTGTTGTGGAAAGAGTACAAAAACAGGAAAGTCCCAATTACATTTTTTTCTAAATATTTTAATTTTTTTTGTTATTAGATTGCAAATATATATTTAAAGTTATAAAATAATACAGTAGGCCTGGCCTACATATTACATAATGTTGCAGATTTTACTGCACATAAGTGAAGATCTCCATCCACGACAAGGTGACGAACTTACAAGCACATCTACTTTCATTACAGAATTGGGTTACAATACGAACAAGAAGCAGAATAACCATATTTCTTAAGGTGGTACATAAAACTACAGGGAGATAACTCTGTAAAAATCAGCTGAATGTTTTAATCACCTTCTATTGTTAAGGAAATATTAAGCTTCTCAATGATCAAAATTAGTGTTTGTCAAACTGCTATATATCCCAATGAAATTTTTCCGATAAAGTGTGTGGTTCAAGTATTTTGAAATTTTTATATTTTTGTCAAAGGGTCAAAGTTATATTTTGTCAAAATTTTATGAAAATTAAACAAGCCAAATTAATTTTAGTCAAGGTGTTTGGTACCAACTAAAGCTATTCCCCAAAATAAGGATCAGACCATTTACACATAAGCAAAGAATATTTACATGCAGTGAATCATTTTTTAATCAGAGTTGTGATTGTATTCTTTCCAGTCTTCACAATGAACTTTTAAATCTACAGGCCCGGAACTAAATTTTTGGAGAGTTTTAGTTAGATTCTGTTGGCCTGTAGAGATGATTTTTACAGGCCCGAGAGCAATTTTACAAGCCTGGGCTGCTGGGCCGGTGGTTCAGCGTGAAGACTGTCTTTTGTTTCTGGGTTCGGGTAATGAACTTCCAATCATTGAGGATAGTTTTTATTATCAATACATTTTTTCAAGAATATAAAACAAAAGAACGGTAAAAGTGACGCCACCCAATTTTGAACTTGATCTGTATTCTGTGGTATTAAGCATTGTGTACAAGTCTCATAAAATTTGGTCGAGGCAAACTAAAGTTAGAGAACAGAAACCAACTTTGGGACTTTGGGACTTTGGGACGTACGGACGTACAGACGGACAAGGGTAAAACTTAATGCCCCCTCCGCTTTGGCGGGTGTGGGGTGAATATCAATTTGACAGAAATTATGAACAAAATTGAGTTAACCAAACCAGACATCTATAGGTCATCAGACATTTATAGGTCACCATAGGTGACCAGATATCTATAGTTCACCAGACAATATGCTATCATTCAAAAATTACAAGAAATCCACAATAAAGAATGAGGAAAAAAGCAATCATATGCTACAGAAGATTAAGAGTAACAATAGATAATATATGGGGAAGGTAGAGGAAAAATGCAAATACTGGCAATTCCTAAACTTTAGCACATATCAATTTATGTGATTATTGACGAATAAACTAATTATTGCGATATCAGTAAAGAGTACAGAAAAGGTTCATACAAATAATGCCAAATTTAAAATTAGTTTTTATATTTACAACACTTTATCCTTCACTAAGTTACAAAAGCAATGTATAATTTCTGAATTTACAGTATATAAGGAGGCAGGTAAGTAAAACTATTGCAGTGCATACATTTTTTTTGTCATATGATTTACTTAAGGTGTGAAACATAACTTATTTGAAAATCACCAACTGTTGATATGGGTTTTGCAATATTATCAGGTATGAATATAATATATGAGCTGCGTCCGATAGGAATCGACCTTATGCAAATGAATATTAATACATCATGTACATTTGTTAACCTATTTCGGGTTGAAAAAATCTCGACAGAAAGTTTATAACTGTTTAAAAATTGAGTTGTTACATGTATAAGAACCCTTCAAAACAGACCAAAAATCATTTTTTATTTTGTATTTGAATTTTCCAAAATCAATCAAAGTCTTAAACATGTACATGTATACGTGCACTTGCATAAGGTCGGTTTCATATATAAACTGTAGAAGTTTACTTGTTTGCATACCTTTTTCCACCTGTTTTCTTCTGTATGATTTGTAATTCTTTTTCATTGAAAGCATCCACATTTTCTAAGATTGTCATTAAATGTTCACTAGTTGATACGTTAGATACATGTAGTCTAGCACTGAATACATTTGACATTTCCATTTCTTCCAACACATCTTTTCTACTTGTTGTACCAAGTACCAACAGTTTTTTACCCTGAAATAAACAAAATTGAAGATAACCAAATTGAAGTAGGATCAAATAGACATGATAGAACTTTACTGTTAAAGGCATGAAAATTTCTCACAAATACTTTTTCAAGGATTAATAATATGAAATATTTGTCCAGGTTTAATGTATCCGTTAACATGAAAAATGTCCATCATGGTATTTCAAATAAGGTTCAAGGGAAGTAACTCAAACTTCTATTACCCAAGATATCAAATATCATATGAGTAAGACATTGAAAATGTTTTTCTTTAAAGAGTTTTAAAAATTTTAACTTATATTTTATGTTAAAATAAGGTAAATTATCTATTTGAATTATATCTATAACTGTAATCTGATCATGAGTATATGTAAAACCTTCTATAAAAAATTTGAGTTATTTCCCTCAACTCAAAACTTTTAACTTGTTTACAAAATCAAATTTGCAACAAATTAAAAGTTTAACATAGCCTTATTGGTAAAGTAATCTTTTAATAATGAAAAATATCTATAAAGCAGTCACTCTCAGGCATGTATATTTTGTCTCCTTTAATGGCAATTTTGCATCAGTTGATGGCTGCCATAAATATCAGAGCTTCACAAAACATTCTTGTATTGATGCTCCATTGCCAAATACTCTCCCTTCCTACACGTGTAATTATTTCTCTTCAGTAGTTGCCTTCTTAAATGTACTTACTGGTGGTGGTGGTTTCTTTAATAAAACAAGTAAAGCTTGTAGTACTAAATTAGAGAATCTTGGTCCAATTGGTACATAATCTGTAAGGATAAAAAGGAATTATTACTTGAGGAAGCATTTACATCAATAAAAAGAAATGAAGGACAAATGTCAGTGAGACAGCAACCTAACAGCACAAAGTAACAAAAAAAAAGACATTTGTTCATATACTGTTGTATGATATTCATAAAAGAAACCATTTACATTTCAAATGATTATTTTGGTACTTTTTTAATAATAACTTTATTTTTTTAACATTTAGATAATGCTCAGTATTCTTTCTAGATAACTTTTTTCATTGTTACTCTTTAAAATGACAAAGCTGTTCCAGAGTATCTTAAAATGCAAATGAGGTTAAATTATTCTTAACAATTAAACTGAGCTTTGTACAAAAGTGCCCTGGAAAGGGAGAAATTAATGTAGTTTTGAAAGTGTTTGTTTTCTCTATGATTGTCCTTTCTTCTATCATTTAAGTAACTTACTAACCTAATAATCTCTCTATATCATCTATTATTATGCAACTTAAGGGTGATTTATAGGCATCATCAAACAGCTGAAAAAAAAGAACTCACATTAGATTTTGTACATAAATAACTATTATTAGCAAGAAAAATAGATTTGTTGATGGTTTTAGTAAATCCAACTGTTTTAATGGAAGTATGAAAGGAAGAAAAATTAACTACAGTTTCACTTCTTCTAAAACCTGTTTTATAAGCACTTAGAGCTTATGTTTGTAATTGCCTTCTATATACGGACTTCAAATAAAGCTTTATGTCTTTATGTCTTATGTCTTCTTCTATAGTAATCAAATGTTTGAATAGACCTACACAGTTTTTTTATGACTAAATGCAGTTTTCCAAGGTGGCATGCAGCACAATTTTAAGTATTCTAGAAAGTAAATATACCTTATGACAAGTACACAATTGTTTGACAAAATATGATTTTTTTTTTTAAACTACTTCTGAGGGCTATGAATAAAGCAACATTCAACAACAATGTTTGAATGTTTTATCCTTTTCTCTTTTTTTAAATTAATATCTTAAATGTTTTTATAGACTTTTGTTTTGTTTTGTTTCTTTTCTTAGACCAATCAACTCTTACCTTCTTCATCTTACAGTTTTTAATTGTCCCTTTGATATAATTTAAATTTTTTTGACTTGTTAGATATACATGTGAATCGATTCAACCACTGCATTTCTGATATAAAGATATTATTCCTCTCGAGACAGTTAAATTTTTCAATTTAAAATATGAGACTTGCCAAGCATATTAGATATTTAAAACCTAACTGTCGATAGTGGAAAAATATCGTATTTTACAATACTCTGCATTGGAATCTGATTCTCTAGTGATTTGTAGATGATACAAAAGAAAAGGAAAGTATAAATCCAACTAGAATTAGAGAAAACGTATTTCATTATGTCTGAGTCTCTACACCTACCTTTTTAATACTTTGACATTTCGCAGGCTCTGTAAAACCAATCATATTTTCTGGAGAACAGATTTTAACAAATGGAAAATCTGAATTTTTAGCTATCTGCGCTGCTAGTGATGTCTTACCACTACCTGGTGGACCTAGAAATATAAATTATAATCATGTTTTGTTTATCAAATACTGGATAGAGAAAGGGAAGCAACTCTACAAAACAAATCCAATGAAAAGAAGAGAAAATATCATGTATTATATTTTTTTGTTATACCATAGACCTCTATGCTGTTTATATGTGTTTCATTGTCTTTAAAACATTCTGGAGTATTAATAATCAAATAATGTAATTTGTTTGCAGCAAATATATCTGAAAATGCTTTTATTTACACAACTCTAAATCTAGTGAGTGCAAGTACAATCTTACACATGTTCAGAGGATTGTGAATGAATGCACTATACTTCAAAAGTGTAAACTGTAAAATATGATAAATAAATGAGAAAAATTAATTGTGGTTTTAATGTATAATAATATTTTCTCTTGGCTCGATTATTTTTTTTTTTTTTAACCTGTATTACTTGCTTTTCATTTTTCGACCTAGATACAATGATTACAACTGGTTTCAACAATATCAAAAGGATTTTCCATGATACTATATTTACCTTCTAACAATACAGTAACCAATGGTGTCATGGTACTACTTCTACACTGTGATATTAATAGATCGCCATCCTCTAACAATCTGGAGACAGGGCTTCCCCATGTAATTATACCATTCATTATATATTTTTCAAACTCTTCTTTACTGCTTCCAAAAGCCTGCAACAAAAATTAATTCATGTTTGGGTCAAAAGTTTTTTCTTCAAAGCTCTGATATTTTATAATTATAGCCTTTCTAAATTCTATTGGAATGAACTGAAATATTACACTATAGATTCATTATTATTCTGTGGGTGATAATAGACCACTTTTGAGTTATGTCCTTCACCGGGAAAGTTTGTCAATTATGCGCGCCTTTATGACGTCATTTACCAGATAGAGGGGACCCCCTGTATCACTGCACAATTAAAGTTCATCAAGTGTCTTCATGATTGTCATTATGCAGGATAAACTAGAAATAATGTTTGTTCCGTAGGTACTTAATCATAATTCCCTAATGACAGCAGTGCTGATTATCAATTATAAGAATTTAATTTGTCAAAAAATTCATGCAAAATATAGCAGCATATTTTTTCAAACGCTTGCTCAACATGGGAAGGAAGTGACGATGCCCCTAAAAGCACGAATGATGTTTTTTGATTGAAATGCAACAAACTTGAAAGTGGTCTATTATCTTGGATTTTTGGATAAAGCTAAAACACCGACATGAGTGTTAAATGAAAGACAAGTTAATGGATTTGTAAGCAGAATTTGGCAAAACCATAAAAGTAAGTTTTCACGACAACATAATTTTTCCTTTATCAGTGGAAATTGGTATCCACAAGAATAAATGAATCCGCAGTAAGCTGACTAAAATCTTCAATGTTGTAGTAGCATAAATGCCATTGTCATGGATGCTGCTATTTGGATATCAACAGGTTAGGCAAAATTCTTATTTTTTTGCTCAATCAATTGCTTTCGTTTCAACCAATGAAAACACACTTAATGTAATTACACAGTCATAAATTCATGTATGATAGAATCTTACCGGTTTAACATCATTTTCAAGTGCATGCATAAAATCTTTCCTGGTCACTAGAATTTTCTCCATGGCCTCAGGATCTACTTCAACTTTAGAAGAAGCTTTGATAAGTCTATTCATTGCAGTAGAAGTTGCTGCTTTTACCAGACCTTCAATTTCAGCTCCACTGAAATTTTTCGTCAAAGCTGATAATTCTTTGATTTCTACATCTGGCGCCATTTTACCATTTTCTCTCATCGTAGTGGTGTGTATATTTAATATCTGCATTCTTCCATGCTCATCTGGTAAACCTATAGTATGACAGATAAACAAATATCTATTTAAATTTTATTTCAAAGATATAGGTCAAAATACAATGGAATCATCATAATTGCATGTCAAAGAAAACTATAGAACAGTACATTATTTTGTACATTTTCATATATTTTATAAAAATTAACAGAAATTGTTGTTTTGACTTGTGAAATGAAGTAAAAATGTTTTTTATACTGCAAATATTTTTTTTTGTGTTTTTTTAAAACTTAAATCATTCTGGCTAATTGCTTTAAATCAGATATTCAAGTTTTTGAAATCAAGTCATCAATTTAAAATTGTCAAAAATATACCTATTGAATCAATATCCATGTAAACTACATACTACAAATATTACAACAACAATCTTTATTTACCTATTTCCATTTGAACTTCTAATCTTCCTGGTCTTAACAGAGCTTCGTCTATCATATCTTTTCTGTTTGTCATACCTTTAAATAATAAGTTAAAAAGTTAACTTTTGATTTTGGTAGATTATCTATCACTGAACATCAGCATGTCCAGATCATATCTATTTTCTACTCTAACAATGCATATTAATACATTTCAATTAAGTTAAAGTTGAACAAAAATTTGTATTTGCTCAATGTTTACATTTGAACATTTCAATCAGGGCTGTTCCATTAAAACATACATGGTACCCAGGGAAGGCACTTTAAAAATGGGGTAACCACCTATAGAGACATATTAAAATTTCACTTACATTTCCACTGTGCAAAAACATAGATGACAACCACCATAGTTGAGATTTGGAAGTGCCTTCCCTGGGTCCCATGTATGTTTTTATAGAACAACCCTCATTTGACATCTCAATAGAAATTTTAATTAATTACAATTGCAAGTTTTCTGACATTCATCAAAATTAGATTGGACACGATTATTTGTGAGAAATTTAGAGTTTCTTTGTCAGTTCTAGGTTACAATATCATTTCTAAATCATGAAAGATATCCCAATTTCCCTCCCATGCAAAAATATATCTTTCACCAATATTTAGTTATTCTTTTGTTGTCCAAAAGTTTAAACATTTCTACATTTTCAGTACTTAAATTATCAATGCAAACTGAAGCTTACAGTTTTCAACTGTAAAATGTGCTCAACTTAGAGAGAAAATATTGTAATCCAATGGAAAAATAAAGTTTCAGAATTGGGTACAAACCTATAACTAAAATATTATTGAGTTGATCAACACCATCAATCTTTGCTAGGAGCTGATTGACCACTGTATCATGGACACCTGTATTTCCTGCCTGAAATAGAAATTCACCTGAATAAGACATGTGTTACCTACCAGAAAGTTTAAAAAATATACCTTAAAACATAGTCACTGATAGGCATTATTTGTTTATCTTTGAAAATGATAAAAAAACAAGAATGTGTCCATAGTACATGGATGCCCCATTCGGACTGTCATTTTCTATGTTCAGTGGACCGTGAAATTGGGATAAAAAAACTAATTTGGCATTAAAATTAGAAAGATCATATCATAGGGAACATGTGTACTAAGTTTAAAGTTGATTGGACTTTAACTTCATCAAAAACTACCTTGACCAAAACCTTTAACCTGAAGAGGGACAGACGGATGGACGGACAGACGAATGGATGGACGAACGAACCGGAAGCAACAGACCAGAAAACATAATGCCCCTACTATTATCGTAGGTGGGGCATTAAAATATTTGTAAACATAAAAATTAAAGTAGTCAAATTTTTCATCCTGGGAAAATAACTTTTAAAATCTTCTAAATAAACTTTAAACTGTAAATTTAGAAAATTTCATGTGCAATTATTATTGCAATTGTTTTGTAATCAGGAAATGCTGCATACAAAAATGTTATGTAATTTGAAATGTGAGTTTTTATTTTTTCAAAACCTATCCAGTCAAAATTTTGAACAAATAAATATATAATGAGAACAATTTCTGAATCTACACTAAACATGGAAATGTTGACACACTTTCATGATAAAATTCAGTATCATTAATGAATTTGAATTAAAGTCCTTGTGCTTTTCAGGGAAAGTTTATACTTACCACTGAACCTCTGGCTTTACATATGGCATCAATCTCATCAAATATAATTATATGTAAACCACTATGTGGACCACACTGAAATGTACAAAAAAACATATATTTACTGTAACCTGAGAAAATTTTCTGCATTATTTGTTTCAAAATTGTTAACTATGATTCTTTTCATTTTGAATTTTTTATATTTGTAGTGCAAAATGATGTACTGTGAATTCATTATTATTTGGTGGATCCCATTTTTTTGTGGATTTTGCGGGTACAGGTGAACCACGAATTTAAATGTTCAACGAGTGACACATTTTCTATAAGGTTGTATGCAGACTTTTGCTAAACCACGAAATTAAAATCTAAGAAAATGCAAGTTTTCCTCAATCCAGAAAGGAACACCATCTTGTAAAGCAAACATAAATTCTACCGAGCACAATCCCTTAAATATACCAACCCTTTTTTCTTCTTCCTCAGCATCAGCAAATAGTTTTCTAACATTAGCCTCTGACTCTCCAACATATTTGTCTAAAATCTGTGGGCCATTAATAATCTTGGGTTCTCTGGCATTCAACATTTTCCCTATCTGTCTGAAATTATACAAATATAAATAAATTGCAGAAAACATTAAGTAACAAGTTAGTCAAAGGCAAAAACGCCCTAGTTGAAATAATCCTTTAAAAAAATTTTATGGACACCATCACAAATTGGTTGATCTTAATGAAATATCTGTTTTACAGATGACAACGGATATGTTCAATTCCATGGGTGCCACATTTGGAGCAGGATCTGCATACCCTTCAGAAGCACCTGAGATAACCTTTGGATTTGGTGGGGTTCGAATTGATTAATCTTTGGTTTTCTATGTTGTGTTTTGTAAATTTTGTCTTTTTGTGGTTTTTCTTTTTTGCCATGGCATTGTCAGTTTGTTTTTGCCATGGCATTGTCAGTTTGTTTTCGACGTATGAGTTTGAATATCCCTTTGGTATTTAGTATATTTCGCCTACCTTAACAATAATTTTAATGTTTTGAATCTAGTGAGTCATAAATATTTTGTCATGAAGGTGTCACATCTATTATAAAAGAGTTCCCTAAACAAAATATTATTTAATAAGCCGTTTTCTATTATGTAATAGATAAAAGTATATACCTAGCCATCAGAGTTTTTCCAGTACCAGGAGGTCCAAACAGAAGGATACCTTTTACATGTTTAATACCTGTAAAATAAAAAGATATATGCTATAAAAATACTGTCAGATACATTAAGAGATATTTACAATAAAAATTTAAGTCATCTTTGATATTTGTACTGAAATATGACCTTTTGACAAGTATTGTGGAACTGCTCAAACACCATATTTATGTTACATACTCACTATGTTGTCAGGTGTATAGATAGATTCCTTTATAGTCTAGAAAAACTTTACATATTTATCAAAAAATATTTGATCTAAAATATGAGTAGTCAATTCAGAAATTATTGCATGGACATCTAATCACAATTCTTGATTAAAAAGTGCAATACTTCACGAAATTCTACACTAAAATTATGAAATGCAAACTTAAAATTCAAGTTTTTATCAACATGATTCCCATTCCTTCCTTTTTTTTGCAATAATAAAAACGTTGTTAACATGAAGCATAAAAATAAATTATAATGCATGGTGGGTTAAAAAATATTTTCAAATCCATTTCTCTTTCGATTTTCCTTACAAAACAACCATTTTTTAAAACAGTACAAACCAATTTGTTCTACCACTTCAGGTGGGAAAACTCTGGAAGCAAAAGCTCTCCTGAAAATGGCTGAGAATTCAGAGTCCAAACCACCAATTCCCATCTTGTTGAAGTCCCAGTCTGGGTTTATTATTGACGTGTATGCTTGTTTACTGTAAAATATAATAAATAATGTTAATTTTTAATTTTTAATGTTCATCCTACAAATGTTAACCTTAAGCAAGAATTTGCATGTGATGTAGTACTAAGCACACCCACTGGTAATACAAAGTATCTGAAACCAGAAAAAGGTGTCCGACTGATCCAATCAGTGCTCACACATTACAACTCATCACTGTCAAGCTGCTGACCATAAGTCATATAAAGTTAGTAGTTCCTGAGAAAAGTGTGACAAAAATTAGTTTTGGAAGAACTGGCAGACAGGCTATTTCACTATAGGCCCCCACTCTTATAATGGGGTCTAATATTTGACAAGTATGAAAAATAAAGAGTACAAAGTGTGCAAAATTATTAGGAATCTTTGACAAACGATAATTATGCATCTTTAAACAATGGGATTTCTGTGGATATTGTCATGCAAAGAATATATTTCTAGCAATATTCTAATGCAAGTTCTATAATTATAACTGTGTTCAATCTGAAGCATTTTCCACATTACTTTCTGAGTTTCCAGTATTTCAATGATCAAAAACGTATCTTTATGTACGTTTGAACTCTAGATATTTCAATACAAGAAAATAGTAACTATTTTTTAATATAATATAAAACAGGTATTACTATTTCAAAACATGAAACAATTAACAAGGATTGAGTTTAAAATATACAAATGTAATATATGTATAAAACAGGTAAGACAAACCTTTTAGATTTACCAGTCAAGTTCAGAGTAGAATTTTCAGCTTTCTCAAAGATAACTGTTGAGTTTGGTGTCAGTAAACCTCTAGGAGCCTAAAATCAAAACTCATATTACATTGGTTGCAATGAAATACCGTGATTTCACATGTGAAATAAATCCAATAATTTCACTACTTAAAACTTTCACTAACTTTGAGTACTCTTAGATTCGTACCTTGCATATTTTGTCGTTGAATCAACCTTTTTAACTAATTTTTACATTTGTCCTAATGTTGTACTATTACACAAGTCCCAGGTTAGGGGAGGAATGAGTGCTCACATTTCTTTATGTGCCTGTCCCAAGCCAGGAGCCTGTAGTCCATTGGTGGCCAATTGTTATAAACTTAAATCAGGTTGTAATTTTCTCGATTGTATTTTATAGGTTACTATAGTATTGTTTTTGCTCATGGTTGAAGGCTGTACAATAACCCACAGTTGTTAACATCCTCATCCTTTGGTCTTTTGGCAAATAGTTGTCTCATTGGTAATCATACCATACCTTATTTCTAAATACATTGTTTTCTCTAAATACTTACACGTCTAGATGTTGGCTGTCCACCCTGTTGAACATTGGTAAAATCCACCACTGAAAAATAAAAATGCATTTCATTCATATCTGTATTTCATATACTGTGGATTTATTTATTTTCACACATACCTACTATTTCTGTGTATTGAAACATTTTCGTGCATATTTGAATTCATGGTTGTGCCTAAGTCTGCATACAAGTCTATAGGAATTTTGTACTTGGTTGAACATCAAAATTTGTGTTTAACCTATACTCTATACCTAAACATTTTATCAAAACCCCAATCACGACTTACAATTTAGGGCTATTCCATTAAAATGTATGTGGGAGGGTAGGAAGGGAAGTTTAATTATTGAATGTGGGTTATGGGTCTTTTTTCAGTATGCGTCTATTACCATTATGCAAAATTATCTAAAAAATGGTTCTTGGTTGTAGGGATATTTTGACAGTCCCTTCCTATCTTCCCACATACATTTTAATGGAATAGTCCTTAGCTGAATGTGTAAAAAAAGATATATTTCAATATATGGAAAACATATCTAGACACCAGACCAGTCTAATGCTACATTTTCAAAGACAAACGGTGGCTTTTCATAGACCTTATTATTCTAACGATTTCTTCATACCTTCCATTTCCTTGACAAATACACCCAACAGCTTTTTGTCTCCAAACTGGAATGCCATGATCTGTTCAACAGAAAAGGCCTGCCCATTGAAAGCCATTGTAAACTCTGCTGCCATCTTGTCTGAGTCATAAGGGTCAAGGTTTGCACTAAAATAAAAGTCGTAATGTTAATAGGTCAATAGGTTAATAGGTTAATAACACACTTGGCCAGCAGATCTATGAAAGTTATTCTTAAGTCCTGATGACTGAAATAAAAAAAACTTAAAACTATTACTACAGAATGTGTTTTTCTTGGTTTAATATAAATTCAATTACTGAATACAGTGCGATACAATATTTTTCCTCTTGAGACAGTTAAATTTTAAAATTTAAACAGTAGGCTTGCCAGGTGTTAAAAATATCTAAATTTGACTTTCGAGGGTGTAGAAATATTGTATTGTAAGAGACACAGTGGTGAAACCTATTTCTCTAATGATGTGTAGGTAAAGTTTATTTTTCTTTTTTAATGATCTGCAAATAGATTGTATTCTTTTTATATGATGTCATCAGACATGGTCACCCTTTTTAATGACGTCTCAATGGCGAAATCAGAGGAAAGAAAGAAAATCAAATGTCATAACTGAATTTTGTAACTGAAGAATTGAAATAAAGTGAAGCACAAGTTAATTATAAAAAAATAATCAACTATTCACAAAAAAATAATTTGTCTAAGAATTTGAGATAAAGGTTGTTTACTAAACACATTTTCAACTTTCTGTAAATCACTATGGCTTTTCCCCGATGTTCATTAGAGATATAATCACACATTGTAACACCACAATTTTATCTACGCAGGCAAGATAAAAATCATACCAGAAAAAATAAACATTTTCTCAAATATATCTCAAAAAGAAGTACAGAAATGTATTTATCGGTATATATAATTTTGTTGCATGTTTCCCTTTTTTAAGAAACTGACCTTTATGTTTCTTTTGATTTTAAGATTCCCCTTGAACAAGGCCTTGACTCCTAAAGCCATAATACAACTTACTGTTTTTTTTGTAGAAAATCCACCTCTAAAGTGATTGTATTAACAGATTCTGCTTTACTACTGACCAGTTCTGGTTTCACTTCTAACTCCTGATTCAGAGATAAGTTTGCCCATTTTCTCTGCAAAAATAATAAGTGTGTTTAATTGAATGTTTGAATTAAATCACTCTACCCTAATTGCTAAAAATATTCCTCAGTTATAGCCCAATTTTAAAAGTAATGGTCAACATCCACATTTGATACAACCATAATCATTATGGCAAAAATTGATGAAACAAATTCGCCATGATATTTTATTTAGTTTTTAACCTTGCTCTATTTGATGTTCACTTTTTCTTTTTTCTTTCTTGGCTTTAATTATCCATCATCGCTTTTTATTGCATCAGTATATACAATTTATTTTATGCAGGCAGCAATAGTAACATTTTCTTCAATTCATTTTTCCAAATAGTAAACTTAGATAGATATCATAGCTTATTTCAATAACGAGACATTTGCACATATGTGTGGTTTGATTTTCAGGTTAGCATAGGTGATATTTTTTTCACAATTTAGTTAACCTCAAGGAGCCCTTTCAACTTCCATGGACATCTAGCAAAGATCATTCTTCTTTGAAGAGTTAAAATATTTATGTCAAAGTCATACAGGAGGATTACTGGAGACATTAAATTTACCAGTTGTTTTAATAAATGTTGTTTAAGCAACTTAAGATATACAATTTTTTTCAACAAACCTGCATCAAATTGAACCCAATGGTTCCCTGTGCCATTCTAGGGAAGGACTTAATAGAAAAAAGGTATTTCTGATGTGGGGCTGTGTATACTTCAACATGTCTGAAATAAAAGCAATTAAAAATGCAATTTCCTTGTAAGCATATCTCTGTTGCCAAAAAAGAGTTCTTGTAAAATCAACAGTTTAATTTTATAAATTCTCTCTTGAAAGTAATGTTAGTATTACAACATGTAAACTAAAACCTTCTTTACCATGCTGTGTCATTGAAAGGGTGCTGTTGTTCTACAGAATTGTAATACACAATCATTCTGATGCATTGAAACCAATTAGTTTTTACTGACTCTTCATGACAAATGTAAGTAAAAATATATACAGCTTACATTCATCATTATAATTTGAAAGAAGACCTACCTTTATGGTTTTTTTTTTATAATTCTGATGTATTATCTATTGAAAATGACATCATTTATAAAAATGTTTGAATTTCAGTAAGTAACATCAATATATTTATCAAGTTTATTCTAAATACAAAAGTAAACTTAGTACAACCTATTTCTTCCCGTTTATTCCAAGACCTTTCTTGATTATCATGATGACAACACCATTTGTTTCCTGTTTTAAAGATCGTAGGCACAAAATTATTCAGTTCAAAATTACCCTTACACCATGTTTTGGTGGTGATTTTTCACAGTAAATGTGGGTTGTTCACTTTGATTGATTGGTGTTTAACGCCACTTTCAGCACTATTGGTTATTTCATGGTAGTCACTTTTTATTGGTGGAGGAAGCCAGTGTGCCCAGAGAGAACCACCAACCTTCAGCAGGAAAACTGACCATCCTTGTCAATTCAGACTGGAGTCGAGGGTACCTGCCACATGCAGGATTCGAACTCGCAACATGAGTGTTGACAAACTAGTTGAACTACTTTGACCACTCAGCCACTGAGGCCCCTGTTCACTTTGAAATACCTCTTTTTATATTCTATAAGTGATAGATGACAGGATCTTTAACTAGTCTTATAACTTTCCACGCTCAGCAATGGTCATGTTTCACAGTGAAACACTCAAAACATGCAAGAGTGTAATTTGTAAAGCTGTTTCTATACAAAGACTTACTTGACTTTTCTTTCATCAAAATCTTTGTCACTGACAATGGCAAAGTTGGTTACTGACAAATCGTCAGTAGGACATTTCACTGCCTTCAATTTCTGAAAAACAAAACAATATCATGATAACAAAATAACTGAGTACACACATGCACTGTGAATGTAGCTTTTGCTTTTAAATCATCACTCTTCAAGTTGTAGTCCCTCAATTACGCTAATGAAAAAAATTTGAAAAGAACACTTTGTCCAAGCTATATCTTTTGCCATATTTGGAAAGGTAAGTGTAGATTTGTTGACAGTATGGAGTTTCTTTTTTGCCTGTTATATTTCTACCTGTTAGATCAAAAGCACTTGTTTTACTTGGGTTCATTCAACTTCCCAAAAAGTGTTGTCTGTGAGACTGTGACAAATTCATCATATGCACTGTTTATTATCATGTCTGTTTGTACATGTAATACACAAGAGAGCATCAAAGAAAAGAATAGATTAACCAGGTGAGGATTGTTGATTTGAGATTAAAGGGGGTCAGATCGTCAGCCCTGATAATGTTCATTTTGTACATTTTTTATGCAAACAAAATGATTTGTTACACTATTTTAAGGGTCATGTGTCCTCCCCCTTTGAAACTGTGTTTTTATTCAAAATACAGGATGTCTTTGTATTACATTTTTACAAGCAAAGTATAGCTTTAACCTTACAGTAGGATATGGAGAGTCCAGTATGATTGACAAAACATGAATTCTGATCAAAATTCAAACCATCAGCTGTCACCCAGAGAGTTAATTATGTTCAAATAATTTTTAATTGAAGATTTGAAACTAAGCTGACTGTTTAACATTTTACTGGGTAATTTACAAATTTCCCAAATATCTGAATTCATAGATTATTTCCGAGAAAAAAACTTCCGATTTACAATGGCTTAATCATGATATATATCAGAACATTTTTTAATGCAGTCTCTTCTTTTTCCAAATTCTAATATATTTCTTATTCACTTTCAGTTAATAAGGAAACTGATGTGGTTTTTAAATAGTTTTTATTAAAAACCTACCTTGGCCATCGTTAATCTATAATTAGGCAAATCTATCCCTTTAGAAAAAGTCAATACTGCCTTTCTAACAGTCTCCCAGAAGTCTGACATTTGTCATTGCAACCAGAACCTTTGACCTGGTAATTTGCATAAATATATAAACACATAAATATCCCATTGACCACAAGACCTAATTATGATGAAAGTACTGTCTATGGATTTCCGTGACAAAATATTGAATTTCAAGCAATGCACTTTCAGTCAATATTCACCAAGCAGTTATCTGGATAATGAATCGTTTCTTGTATTGATTTTATACACTACAAATTTCTCCCTGTTGTGAGACTCTGATTTGCTGTTTTTAGGCTTAGTCAAAAATTGATTGTATTATCTTGTATTGAAAAATGTTTTTGATTGAATTAATACAATAACTCTCTATCCATAAAAAATAAACAAAGCTAGAAATTCTGTGCAAAGTTGTCATAACAATCGATGCTTTAAGCTTTAGGTTATAATATGTGTAATACTGTTTGTCCCATTTACCATATTAAGCTTAAGGATGTAATGTATATTACTGTTTGTCTAAGTTACTGCAGACATGTTTTTTTTTATACCAGTAAACATTTTATATGCTGTTGTTATAGATGTATATACTGGTAATGGTGTAAGTTTAGAAAAGTTGTAGATCAATTTCTGAAAAGATAATAAATCTTCAATGGATTTGAATATCAGACTAAATAACACCCAGCTTACCCCTCAGACCTCCCCTAAATAAGGGGCTGGAAGGGAGGGGGTCTTTATTTCTGTATTCTTTAATTTTTATGTCATTTTTCTCTTTTCTTTATTTTTATTTTTTTATATTTTTAGCATCCCATTAATCTCAATTCCTTATCCCCCCATTATTCTTTAAGCTGTAAATCCCATTCAGACCACCTTGAATTCTAACTGAGCATAACTTCAGTGGGCCAGGGAGGGTTTCCCATGGTGTGTAGGTGGAAAGGAAGTGACAAATCACCTCCCCCCACCCTTTCCCCCCTGTCATTTTCTAACCAATTAAAGAATAGTGACTGCTGAAAAAAATTTCAGAACAAAGGCAAAATGACTAAAACGAATCATGTTGTAGATCTATACAAATGTAGCTGTATTTGCATAAATTGTCTACAGATAAATGATAAAGTTTTCCCCATGAATAAAGAAGTAAATAGAGTTCTCAGAAGAAATGATTAAGATTACCAATGCAATTGATCATGAACTTAATCGAAGGTAATCAATTGAACCAAATTTTAAAGTACTTGATCAATAGAAAGTTGTGCCTAACTATTATAGATTTTTATATTGCACAAAATAGAAACAAAATTGTCTGGAGAATTACACATTTTTTGTAGGCAACTCGATGATCAGTTTATAAAGTTTTAAGCTAAATGCTGGATCAGTTGGACCTGGTTTTTATTTCCAGAGTTAACATGTAAAATTCTAGTTAAACAATTTTACATTTACAAGAGCAAGATTCTCTAAAACTATTTTGAAGGTTGTTAAATAATCTTTCTGCATTGCTTTAGAAGGTCAAGCTTTTCTGACTGTTTATGAAGTCTTTACACTAAACCATTGAATAATCTTACACTGAATGTATTGGATGCCTACTACTTGATATTTTAGTCAGGGAAAGCACAGGATTTATAAGTTTGTTGCAGTTGGTTTTAAACTAGCTTTCAGTAACTTAGACATCAGTACTTTGTGTTACAAAACCTTAAAACTGCTGAATTGAAGGCAGAAAATTTAAATTATTTTGACATGTTATACAAAAATTCATTCAAATTTTTAAAAGAAACAATACTGCTGACCTTTTATTTTAATTTCCCAAATGCACATTTATCAAAGCTTTTAAATAAAACTACTTAAAACTTGAAACAATTTATTGCTTAAAATATAGTTTTTGAAAATCTAAAAGTAGTCAGAAAATTTCATCGAAATTACCATGATTACCAAAATTCTCAATTTTGAACCCCATTTTATTGAAAACACTTTAAGCATGACAACATATGTTTTATTTTATGATTTTTCATAGATCTTATCTTGATTTACAACACGACTGAAAATAATAGAAATGACAATAAATAAGGAAATAATTTTAACTTGCTGAAGAATAAAGAATATAAAATGTACATGTACATGTCAGTTATGTTTTTTTAAGCTACAAACTGTACATTGTACATACAGGATATGTAAATTCTCTTTCTGTGAATTTGGAAATACATCAATTAGTCAATTTATAGTTTGAAGCAATACTAATAAAACTTCTTCTGTTTTTTCTGCATTAAACTTCTGTGTAGTCAAGACTGGAGACTGCATAAGATCTGAACAGCAGACAAAAACAAAACCAAACAGAAAATATCACACTAAAGAATACAGCGCATTAGTGTAACAAACGTGCACACACTGAAATGTCTCGCCTGTTTTACTGACCATTGATTTTATGTTGAAAGTCTTTCAGATACAGGTTTTACTACAAGTTACTGAAGTATCACATAAACTTAATATTTTTAAAGATCCATGACAATGAGGTCAAGGTCAGATAAAACTGTTTCACAGACATGTACATCCTACAATATTCCATACACCAAATATAGTTCACCCATTGCTTATGGGGCTAGACAAACATGTACATCTTATAATCCTTCCATAAACCAAATATAGTTGACCTATTGCTTATATTTCTTGAAAAACAGACCAAAACACAGGAACTTAACAATGACCAATGAACCATGAAAATGAGGTCAATGTCAGATGACACCAGCTAGACAGACATGTACACCTTAAAATCATTCCATACACAAAATATAGTTGACCTATTGCTTACAGAACTTGAAAAACAGACCAAAACTCAAAAAATTAACAATGACCAATGAATCATGAAAATGATGTCAAGGTCAGATGACAACTGCCAGTCTGACATGTACCCCTTACAATCATTCTATACACCTCATATAGTTGACCTGCTGCTTGTAGTATCTGAGAAATGGACATAATCACGTATCTTTAATCTTGATCACTGATCCATGAATTGAAGTCGAGGTCAGGTTAACCCTGTCTGATGGACATGTAGTAGTTGCAAGGAACCCATATACCAAATATAGTTATCTTATTACTCATAAGTGAAAAATTTACATGACAAAAAAAATGTAATTTTTTTCCAAGCAGTCGCTGAACCATGAAAATGAGGTCAAGGAATATGGGCATACGACAGACGGAAACTTCGTAACATAAGGTATCTGCATACAAGGTATGAAGCATCCAGGTCTTCTACCTCCTGAAATATAAAGCTTTATACAAATAATTTACACCACTGCTGCCGGATAGTAATACCTATGTCTCGCATACTGCAACTTTCGTCGCAGGCGAGACAAAAGTAACATTTTTAGTTCAGTAGTTTGCTAAGTACATAGTTAAAGATCAACACATGTGATTAAGCAGTTATAATAAACAATAAAAATTGTAAATAGGTTTGTTCTTTGAAGTTTTCTTAAAATTCTGTTACATTTGTAATACCGTTATGATCGGTTTTCTTTTTTTAATACTTGAATATTTTCTCAAAGGTGGTACTTTAGAGAAGTATAATCAACGTTTTATAACATTACAAACTTTCAAAATATTTATCTGGTAAAATACACTTACTAAATATTCAACACTTCAGATATTCTTAATTTTTTACCCATAATGCTCTATTCTCTATTTTAGTACCCAATTTTTCTCAATTTTTTTTTGCCCATTATTTTCTTCTTTTTATCACGTTTATTATTTGCCTTAGCCCTTATTAATCTCTTTTCATATCATGATGTCAGAAGTCTGTGGTTGGAAGTTAAAATGTATCTGGAACAAAATGCCCTTGAGTCCTCCTCAACTGAGGCACATGCAATTTCCATCTACCATTGTCTACAGAGAATTTTTTCTTGAAATGAAACACTGACAGGAAATTCATGGAAAAAAACTTGTCATGACATAATATCTTAATCTATATTGTGATGTAAGCTATTTTAAACTTTTTGAATCTGTTCTAGGGTTCATATTGAGTTTTTGCGAATTCCTGGGAAATCTTTGTACCCAAAGCTGAATTGTCTCTGATGAAAGACCCTAAATCTTGCTCCAAATATCCTTCTGCTGTCATGCAACAATCACTTTTTAATTATGATGTCACACATTTAAAATTGTGATCAGAGGCTGATTTAGGCCGGAAGGTGAAATGGCCCAGGGTGCACGGGTCCCAGTTATGGAGCTACATTTATAGTTCATGCAGACTTTTTTCCTGTTCCACTCCAAATGTTGTCTATTTTGGGGGCCCCTGGGCTCCCCCTTTTTTTAAATCCTGGATTTGCATCTGGTGATGTGAAATTCACGTTTGTTTGATTATAACTAATGGCAGACGAATCTGCATACAAGTGTATGTACATCTATTTAACCTAGTGCCAAAGTGACAATAATACACCTTATCGCTATTTAGTCCAATCCGGAAAAAACAGTCATTTAGACAACTTCCTGTTTGGGTCAACAGGCCGCAAACAAAGGTCATCAGTAACGAGCTGAGGGAGGGAAAAATTTAGAAAGCGATCAATAGGAAACTTTGATAGATTATGATCCACTTTTTCCAAACTCAAATTATAGTAAAAAAAATATTGTGTTTGAAGTATTTACGATGTTTTGAACAGGTCTCATTAAAAAGTATCATGCATGGTGCATTGTTTAAACAGGGTCCCAGATAGCTTCAACTGGATGAAAAAGTTGTGTAATTTAAGAACTTATCCGGAATGGAATAAATAGCGATTAGGTGTATTCATCCCTATTGGTGACTTTGACATGGGGTAAAAATACCAGAAACTTATGAAAATCTTTAAGAAAAATATGGCTAAAGTCTCAATAATGTAAAATGAACATACAGTCAAGTGAATGAATATGAATTGCGAAGCCGACAGACACAGTTTCGATATAAAAACTGAAAGTAAAAAAATGTTTTTACTTTTTAGGTGTAGACACAAAATGAAACATCAGCTTTCTCAATAACAGAGGCAGGATATTTGCAGTACTTCCAAAGACATGATATGGTTTTCTTATTATCTAAAAACGTGTTACTTGGCATCAATAATCATAAATTAGTTTTAAAAAAGTAAATTAATTTCCATCCTCCTACCTGCGCCATGTTGGATTCCGTAAAATAAGATGAAACGAAACTGAACATTTATTATTCCTCTGGTTTTCTTCGCAGACTCTTCTGAGCCTTACAACTGTATTTTATTTTCGGTTGTTTCTTTGATATTAATTTCGTTAGTTCATATCCTAAATTATTAAAATCATGACAAAGTTTGAATTACGTATAAAGTTCGTATACTTTTTTATTTGTAAATGTCTATTTTTAGATTTCCACGTGTACACAAATGACAGTGTAAACATGCTGTCAGAATTAATCATCAAAAAGTTTTTCGAGTAAATTAACAAAAAAATTACTCGTTTGGATATGGTTTTATTGTAATATCTTTTTTTTGTTTGCTAGATTCAAGAATTTCAATAAAATTATAATACAGATGCGGATCCAGGTTTTTTTTAAAAGGGGGAGGGGGCAAACTAGCTACACAACCGTGACGTTAGGAGTTGAACATGTAAACAGTCTGCGTTATTGCAAGGACGTATATTAGAGTGTTAGTTATACTTCCTTGGTTATTGTCAACCATATATGTAGCTCCGCGTCCATGACCCTCCCCCAAACCCTTAATCCGCCTCTGATATAACCTTAAGTCTCTGCAAGGATATTTGTCACGTCGGTAGGTTATGGATTTGTAAAGTATTACCAGAGCCACATAATACAATACAAATTTGTGTCTCTGGTATTGCTATACAAATCCTTGGTCTCTAAATCCACCACCCTTAACCTGTGACTAATATGTATTAGCAGAAGTCCATTTCTAGACTCTAGTAATGGACTTCTGGTATTAGTGACAGCCTTTACACAAGTATTTTTCATTCTAAAGCTAGACAAATTGAAAGAATAAGTCCAAATTTGTTTTATGACTGAAATAAGACTATGCATAGACGAGGGCCACGGTCTGGAAGGGGGCCCTTCATTTCTGTATTCTTTATTTTTTAGACCATTTTTCTCTATAATGCTTTATTTTTTTGCCTATTATTATCTATTTATTATGTTTGAGGACTCAATAATTCTCTATTCTTTAAATTTTGGCCTATTTTTTCTCTATTCTATAAT